CATAAGATACCACTTCATATTTCTATAGTAGTTATAGTTCTGTTTTTTTCAAGGTAGTAATAAGTATTCATGAGGATTTGGAGAAATGGAACCCTCCCACATAGCTGGTGTCAATGCAGAATTGAATAATCCATTTAAAAAATGCTGGAAATTTCTTAATTAAAAATAAACCAAGTCTTAGGACCCAACAATTCCACTTCTAAGTGCTTTCCAAAAAGAAATGAAAATATACATCTACACAGGGACTTTCATAAAGCAAATGCTCATGGCGGTATTATTCATAGTAGCCAAAATATGGGAGCTGCCTTACATATTTTAAAAATGGGGTGCACTATACAAATTCCATTCATCAGAGAAATATATGAAGGCAATTTGGATTGTGACAAGAATTTTGTCAAACTGCATTGTGCTTATCATTGTGTTACTCTGAATTTACTCAAAACCGTTGATAGTAAGGATAAATACATTTATTGTCTTCTTGACACAATGTATGATTACTTGGAAGTTAGTCTCAATGAGGAATTTCCTAGATTAGTTGTGGGCATTAATGTGAGGGATTTCTGAATTGGGTTCATTGAGTTTGTAAGACTTACTATGAACTTGGGCTACACCATTTTCTCGGCTAGGCCCCAGAGTGAATGCATTGGAGCAAGAGAGCTTAGTTCTGGCATGCATATATGGATTTGTTCTTCTTGTATGGGGATGTGCTGTGATTAGCTATTTCAAGTTGTTGCTCCTTTTGACTTCCCTGTTGATAGTAGAATGCAACCTGGAATTGTAAGCCAAACAAACCTTGTCTCTTTTTTTCTCAGAGTTTTCTGTCACAGCCATGGGACATGAGACTCAGACATATTTTCTTTAAGTTTTCTACCATACAGTGCTAAAATAGACGTTTGCTTATTAAGACTATAAGATGTCTGATACCACATAACCAAGTAACCAAAGTCAATATCCTCAGTGATGTGCCGTGTTGACATCATTTACTGCCCAAAACTGTAATAATACATCTTTTTGTATGCATCTCTGGAACTCATAATTCTTATAAATTTATTTATAAGAGAATATTAGACATATTCAAGTTTAGTAACAGAACACAAAGTATTTTATCTTGTTCAAAACTGTGAAAGTAATGAAAAACACAAAACGTTGTCACAGACCAAAGAAACCAAGGGCACAGGCATGCAGTTTGTCATTCTGAATGGGATTCTTATAACAGAAAAAAGATACTGGTAACATATATATATTCAACATATAAAAAGAATTGATAACATATTATTTGACAGTAACAGAACATTTACTAACATTAAAAGTCATTTCAGGTGTGAAAAAAGCCAAAGTTATATTTTAGTGACTCATACTAAAGTCTCTATGGTTGAGTGCTGTGTTATCTGGGATTGTCTTTTAAATGATCTGGTGGAAGCAAAACTGGGAAAGAGAGTCAGTGGAACTCACTCACCATATATTTTACCCTTCCACATGTGTGAAAGTTTCCGTAATAAATTTTTAAAATCAAATTCAGTTGAAAAACAGATTTCACTATTCTCTGTTGACCAAAGTTACGTCTTGTCTAATAAGAGTCAAATATGTGCATCAATTAATAAGCCATAAAAAGACTTACTGAATGTGCAGAAATACCCTGATCAAGATAAAATCAGGGCTGAATACTTGGGAGAACATTAGGAGAAGTGCTTGAGTTAGCAGACTCCTAAACTGCAGTGCTTCTTGTTCTTTCCTTGGAGCTCTGTGGTCCACTGATACGCTGCTATCTCAGTTCCTTTTTGCATGAAGATTTTAAAATGAAGTAGAGTGTGGTCAGAAGCCACTCTTGTTCCTACTCAGTGCTCCAAGGATCTAAGCACTTTGCCACTGTGTCATTGTTGTTTGACTCAGTAATTTCTTGGTGGCCTTGTGACTTGTAGCATGGGACACTGTGAATACCACATGTACTGCTGCTCTGGAGTCCATACAGAATCTAGTGCAAAGTTCAGAGCTGTGTGCAGAGTGACTCCTTCTCCAGGCTTTGTCATTTATGGTGATGTCACTGTATCATTGAATATTGACTATGATCTAGAAATCCTTATAGTTTTGTTCTGACTAGAACATTTACCACTATTGTTAATCTACTGTCTAAGATTAATTTTTAAAAAGATTTTAGCAGCCTGGTGGTGGTGGTGGTGGTGCATGCTTTTAATCCCAGCACTTGGGAGGCAGAGACAGACATATCTCTGTGAGTTCGAGGAAAGCCTGGTCTACGGAGCTAGTAGTTCCATAAGAGGCTCTAAAACTACAGCAAAACCCTGTCTCAAAAACAAACAAGAAAGAAAGAAAGAAAGAAAGAAAGAAAGAAAGAAAATTAGAAACTGATACAAAATTTTTTCTTAGTGAGGACATGAGTCATAGATCAGTTTTCAAGGTGCATTCAGTGTGCAGTTGTGAACATGAGAGTTGGAAGCCGTAAAGCAGAGAGGAGGGCCGTGATAAGACCCTGTCCTGATTTTCTGCCCTTCAGTCTCAGCGCCCTCAAAGTTATTTCACTTTCCTTAATGACCTGCCTTCAAGCAGTTTCTACCTAACATTGTGCAGTGGGCGGCTCAGTGACAGAGTTAATGGCTTTTTCAAGTGCAATGAAGAGGAGCAGTGTTCATATCGAAGACAACTGGTCCCACTTCCAGGTCCATCTTTGGGCCAAAATACGTAGTCGCCAACAGTGAGTTGGCGACTGTATTTTTTGAGTTCTGGCGCAAAGCAAGATCCATCTGTTTTGCCCAGCCGTTTGCCTGAGTGCCACAGAATGGTCCTGTTATTAAGCTTATTTGTGGTCCTATTTGAGGTTAGGAATAATGTAAATAAACCTCAGTCCCCCCTTTGATGACCACAGCCCAGGAATTAAAAGTGGTGCTGTTGGTACTGTAAGTAAGGCTGTGTCTATTTTCTCAATTGTTCTGTTTTCTTTGGATAGAGAAACAGACATTTAAGAATGAGTTTGTCATCTGGAAGGATAGTTGTCACCAAGTTTCTCTCAACAGGATACAAGATGTTATTTTTGAGCTTCATTACCCTTACCAGAGAGAGGGAGAGAGACAGAGACAGACAGAGAGGGAGAAGCCAGCAGAAATGGAGAAGAAAGCAAGTCACAGCACAGGGAGGTGTGTGTGGATGACTTAATGCTGACTGTTCATGATGAACTTTATGATTTTGAATAGTTGTGTTTACTGCACATTTGCTGGTTTGAGGAAAAGAAAATCTGACTGAACTGAACTGATGGTTGTCAGCTACTTTCTGTGTGTGTACTGAACTGAACTGATGGTTGTCAGCTAATACTTTCTGTGTGTGTATTCAGTCTGACTGAACTGAACTGATGGTTGTCAGCTAATACTTTCTGTGTGTGTATTCAGTCTGCTTTCTCTCACCTTTTGAGCCAGACAGTGATTCAGTTTCACTGACCACATGTTGTTGGTGAGAACAATACCAGTTGCAATTCAGATTTATCTACAAATGGACACTTTTTATCTTTCTGAATCATTTATCAGGGGTTATTGTTATTCCATATAATTTTTGAGCACAGTTATTTTTGTCAGTGTCTTTCATAAATGTTTGGTTGCCTTATAAGGATATATGTGCTCTCCCCTCCTCTCATTCAGTTGTCCCTGGTGACGCCTCCATAATTTCTGTCTTTACACTGTTGCATTTTTAGGCTAATTCAGGCATTTGAGAAGCAGAGGGAAAGTTTAGTAAGTCAGTCAGTAATTTTTTTTTCAAAAATATAATCCCATTCATGACTGGATTTAATATGAAATCTGGGCAAGTTTTCATTTAAAATGTATGTTCATCAAATAGACACATTGCCTAAGTTATTATTCCATATATTTCAAAGGAAAACAGGATTTGCAAGTGAGAACCAGATGCATTTTCTCATAATAGGTGCAATTTCAGGGGTGATTTATGATTATGATCTCATATGTGGAAATATTAAAATATTACTTTGTATTATGTGAGGGTCAGACATAAAACCAACACAATCAGTGCAGCAAATATATATTAAAATGCTCTTTTAAAGTAAAATAAGGAAGGTAATTATACTAGCTCCATTTTGTATTTAAAAGTATTTTTTTCTAAACACTAATGTGTTATTTATTTGAAACTAAAAATAGAAATGACTTAATGTAGAATGTTGTGATTCTTTTATTACTATTGTTTGTATTTGAAGAAAAGATTGAAAAATAAACAAAGTGCTTTAAGTCCAAACTTGTGGGATACAGTTGGAGAGCTGAATGCCTGGACTCTTAATTTGACGATACATGGAACCAGAGAGTTAAACCAGGATGTCTCATTCAAATCCTTATGATTTTCCTGTCTCACACTGACGATGATATGGAATAGGAAGTGCAGTATGACATGAAGTGGGGCACACAAACATCCCATAATATAATTTGTGACCATTTTGCATTTTGTATAGCTAACCGTGCTTGTTTACCTCTAGTTTCCAGCCCCTCCCCCATAGGTCAGTCATTTGTAACCATAGATTAGTATTTTTCCCAGTTTATTGCAGTCATAGTTTTTCTTCATCATGGATATTCAGATTCATAGATTTTTTTCTTATGGACTTAATATTTTCCATACTCTTTGGATTGTGAAATTTTTCTCTAGGATGTTTTTCTTTAAATTACTTAGATTGTAACTGAGTTCACTTTGGAAGTTTCTAGCCATACCACTATGAAGTCCTCAGTATGGAGGGAGGGTTTTGTTTTTTTTTTTTTTTTTCAGAATTACCTTTGTTTCCTCTTTAGATTCTATTATTTTCATTAAGAAACTACTCTGGGAAACAGGATTTTTTTTTCCTCTCTCTCTTTCTTTCTTTTTCCCCCTTAACAGGAATAAAAAAGCTCCGCTTGACTGGTAATGCATTGCTTTGGATGGGGAAACATTATGAAAGTTTAATTTTTAATTAAATCTGAAATACCAATTATAACTGAAAGAGATTTTAACCTGTTTCTTTTCAGACTGCCTGAAGTTACATTCTGAGACTGAAATCACTGCACCTTAAAAACAAAAGATTGAGAGGCACTGTGTCCCTGTGAGTAGACGCTTCCCGTCCCTTCCTCAGTGCTTCTGTGACCAACCCACAAAGGGACAAAACCTATCATAGTAACCGACAAGAGGGAAAATCTGAATGTCCCTGAAGAAATCTATCCTTAAATGATTTCCTTTAAAAAAAAGTTATTGAGCTCAGTGTTTCTGGGTGTCTTTTATTCACTCAAAATTATGAAACCTTTCTTTTGAATTTCATTAGGGAGGGTGTCGCCCACTGTGCAGCACAGTGAAACACACCCTCTTTGGAGAGCTTTGTGCATTTTATACCACACTCTTAGAGGTAAAAGAATTCTTTTGAATCAAAGTAGATTTCGTTTTCTTTAGTGATGTCGCTAGAAATTTTTAGTCTTTGTGTCAATGGAAATGAAAAGTTCATGATGACATCACAAGATTCTATAGCCTTGAAGATTTTTGGGCAAACCTAAGTAAAAATGCATAATTCCCTTGTGTGCGTGTGTTCCCCATTCTGCTATGAAGCAGTCAAAATAGCACATCTTATGTCTTCCCGTGAGCTCCAAGGCTGTCTCTCAGAGCCCATTGTTCCATAAATGCATGTCAGAGTCTACCACAGTCTGCTCTACCCTTATTTAACTGCTGTTTTGTCAATGTACTTGGAAGAACAATTAACATTTGGGATTTCAATGTCTGCAAAACAGGCAGTGAGGAGAACTGGAGCAAATAAAAGATTCAGATGCCCAGGGTAAGAAAACAGAAGCTCATAGCTGGTGGAAGAGAGAAAGAAAATCACTTTAATGCTGCATTCGGAGTTGGGAAATACTGAAAGGAAAGATCTTTTTCATATTTTAGATCAAAATACAGATTTTAGCAATAAAATCCAGGTTTATTATGCCTTGCTAAGTTTTACAGTCTGATGTTTTCTGTCGAAGTCTAAAAGCACCATCTCTTCTACTGCAGTGCTGGGTGTGGGGTCTCCTTACTGCACCCCTGCTTCCTCAGCGTGCACCCTCTCTTCTGTTGTAGTGCTGGGTATGGGGTATCCTTACTGCACCCCGGCTTCCGCAGATGGGGTCCCCATGCAGAGAGTATGCCTACTTCCTCCATTTTCATTTTGCTTCACTAGAGTCTGTCTTTACTGACTGCAGATAGCCAGAAGCTTGCATGTCTGCATCTTTTGTTTGAGTTCTGTTAAGTTCTTTTTTATGTGTTTTGTTTTTGAGAGAAGTGACACAGGGGGCACTTGGGCAACTTGGATTTGTTGACAACCTAGACTAAATAAATAAGTAACAGTTGCTAATTTTGTCATAATTTGAACAGTTCAAGCCTACAGATACTAAGGTCTCTAAAAGTAAGGATTAGTTCAGGTTTTTTCCCAATACTTATCACAGTAATTGATAATCACACACACACACACTTACACACACACACACACACACACACACACACACACAAACATACATACCTACACACAACCCCTTCCCCCCAAAAAACAAAAATAAAACAAAAAAACTATTGTTTGCGGCACAATTATACAAGTTTTTTTTTTTTTTTAAAGTCAGAGATTTGAGAATATTTACTGTACAGTGGAATCAGGTAAAGATTTTGGCAGGTAGAAAACCAATTATAAATAATTTGCCATAAAGCATTCTTCCATTCATGTCATGCGGGGCATCAGCCTCTTGTTCTTTCATCACCATGCTAATTTACACTTCTTTTCCTGGCCCAGAGAAGAAGTATCCATTCATATATATCCTATTGGTCTGTGAAATAGTCTTCAGTAATTTTCTCTCTAAGTCCTGTGTTATTTCTGGTATAGTAGAATTGACTCTGATCTGCCTGGTTGGGGATATTGGCCACATCTTCTCTCATGTTGACTGTACGTACAGCAGACATTTGAGGGAAGTAAAGCAAGTGTTGCTGTTTGTGCTAGCTTCGGAGGACAGGGTCTTGAGAAGTTGCTGTGAGAAAATCTTTTCATTGAGGCAAACATCAGAACCAAATCACAATCCCAGTAAGACTACAGTATTCTTTAGAACTCAGATCTGGTTGACATAACATTTCCAGTCACCTCTCCCTAACTCTATTTAAGAATTTTTTTCTGAAAGGAATTCTTTTTTCATTTTTGTGCAGTCAGCTCTCGGTGATTCAAATTAAGGCTTTCATAAAATTTAAACTCTGGGGGAAACCTGTATTGATACAATTTAGGCCTAGTCAATTGTGCTACCATATTGAAAACCGTTTAAGATTATCAATGTTCCTTATAAATTATTCCACATTTTTAGGGTGGAAACCTGAGGTAAAATTGATGACAGGGAAAAAGCTGTCATAAGCCATAAGAGCAGCAGGAATGTAAAGAACGGAAGTCTGACCTCTCATTCTGAAACGAGTAAGTTGAGTCCCAGGGAGTGCACTTAGGCTATGACAACCACACTGACGACAAAGATAGATCATTCCTCAGCGTGTAAACCAGACAGAAGACCACACCCGGATACCGAGCTTCCAGCATTCCTCTGAAGGCAGTGTAAGCAATTTTGAGAGTTATTGACTGTTTACCAATTAACCTAAAATTAATGAATAAAGCTCTGAAACTATTATCAAAACTTTTTTTGTTAGCCCTACACATTTTGATACTAAACCCTTGGTTGTGCCCTGTGGTCTTTATAGACAAAATTTATTCGTTCACTTAATATTCGTTTTAGTGATTGATGAAGCTAGTTCACTAGAAATTTCCATAGTAATCTGGCTCATAGTCTTGAGAATGAAGCCTGTATACCAAACATCGAATTCAATATCGCCAGCAGTGTACATGGTGTCAAAGGTTGTGTTGTCAGGTGCCATTCCTCTGAAAGAAAGTTAGTGGTACGAATGAAATAAACTTAAGTAATTTAAAATGAATTAATTACTATGGTAATTTATGTCACCCTGCTTTATTAATTCTATAATTTAACGATTCAAAGAGGGAAGCATCAGAACTTATTTTACCGAGAGTCAGCTCCTAGACCCATATTTTTGTTTCTTAATTTCATTTTACCACACCCACGCCTTCTACTCCTGGCCTTGAAGTTGTTCGAATAAAAGGGTGCAAAAAGTTAATGGCCTAAGTTTTGTGTCCCAACAAGATGAAACAGATGTGCTTTTTACAAGTGCCCATGAAAGCTTTAGCATACAGAAAAAAGGAGATCATGGCATGAGAATGTCAGAATAGAGTTCTAGATATGCTTATCAACAAACTGCTCTCTTCAAACTTCTCTTGCTTCTTTATAATAATTAACATTTATTATATACACCCTTATAACAAGCATGTTACCAGGGTCATTAGTACCTTTATTGTATAATTAAGGGGATTTAAATCTATTTGGTAAATCTCCTAAAAAATGGAGTCATTAATTCATTCGTCAACCATGTTTGATGTTAAGAATATAGAAATGAGTTCTGAAGTCTGAGGTGAATTTCTAAGCTCTTAAAGAATCAGACATTAATCTAGTACACAAATAATAACAAAATTACAGATTGTCTCCATGAAAAGAACTGTTTATTTAAGGAGAATATGGGTGAAGTAAATCTAATTTTAATACTCACTAAAGTGTTTTCTTTTCTGAGTTTGAAGAGAGTTTGAACCTCTAAAATTTAGGACTGATATCTTAGGCCACATTTTCCATATGCAAAACTTAAGAAGAATGCTGACAACCTTCTGAGACAAGGTCAGGTTCATTTCTGTTTAGTTAATAATTATTAAAGCGCTGTTGCTGATTAATTCATTTCTTATTTTTCTGTTCTTTACATATATAAAGAATATATACCAGCAATAAGTTTCACTCCTAGACTCTATTTTTCACTGATAAACCTTAACCTTATCTTTAAGTATGGTTATATTTTATCTTAAACAATTACAAGAGGCCTAGAAGCAATGAAAGCCTTGAAAATTGTTACTTTTTACAAACTATGCTAAATTTCTAAATTGAAGAACAAATCAGATAGTTTAGAAACAGGTTGCATTAATATCCTAGGAAGTTAATAAGCAAGAATAGAGATATTTATGTATTTTCAGAATGTTGTATATCATCCTTTTCAGTTTATGCACAGAGAGAATGTTAATATTAACCATAGAAAAGTAGATTATACTCTAAAAAAAAAGTCTATCTGTCATAACTCAGAAGACATTGCCATTAGAGAATACTACAACAGCAAAGAACTTTAGGGATTTTTTAAATAAAAATCAGGCCTAGAATTCTTATAACAGTTAATTATACGGCCATCTAATTAAACAATTATTAGCTTAAATGGGAAAACTGGGCCTGTGACCCTAATTTTTAGCCATATTACTGCATCCAAGCCACCTAATAGATGATCCAAGTCCTTCCCATAATCCCTTCACAGTCTTAGGTGAAAGGGGACTGTTTATACAAGAGACAAGTTTGTGCAGAAGCCCCAGTTAATGGATAAAGGAATAGTATAGGTGACTCCCATTCTCTTTACTTCATGTACCAGATGCCTTCTAAGAGTTGACTGTCACCATTGCTACCCACACTCTGCAACTGCTCAGCAAAGAACCCTTTCCATGTTGTAATGAAGAAACTTAGCCCCAGGAAGTTTAAGTACATGCAAGAACACAAAGCTAATATGTGAGTCTAAAAGATTCCAACACTGGGGATCTCTTTCTTAATATTTTTATCTTGTGTGCTTTGGTATCACCTCAGCTGATGTGATCTCAGAAATCATTATATCCTTAGTGGTCTGAATGCCTTAATAGCTGAATAACTGCTAAGAAAGTAAAAGTATGTCCACTCCACATAAAACTGTCACATTGAACTCTTCCATGTCATCAGAACATCATGTCAGAGTAAATTACTTGTAGAAACCATGTATCACAGTGAAATCTTGAGCCAGCATTCACACACATACTCCACTTGTTTGTTTTTATGCTTGTGAAATAGTGTTTCATGTACTCAGAGGATGTCAAACAACTTTCTCTCTAGACAAGACTGACCTTGAACTCCTGATCCCCCTGCCTCAGTGTTCTACATG